AACCCCAAACCCAACATAACGGTATTTCACATTATAATTATAGCATTATCATCTATAATAACTGCTTAAACTTCCAAGCCTACCCTATCGCGTTGTTTTGTTTTGGTGACAACATGGCCGGTGTAAGTCACGTGATTGAAACCGAGTTGGCCAAACTCTCTCTATCTACGGCTCTGCTGTCTACTGGAGTTCCTATATAATAGCTGTCTACATACGACTGTGCTGTACAGTATTTAATAGAAAATATGAATTACTCAAATAAACATAAAGTACTATATTAAGTTATTAATATAGTGATAATATTATTGGTATTAAACAATAAACTGCAAATATTACATTAAAAAGAAATTATTGAATATAAAATAAGACCGATGCAGTCTTGGCGTTGGAACCTACACCATAATAATAATACCGTTACTTGCAGCGTTGAAGGTTAATGTACTGTACTACAAAATTGCTACAGAATGATCAATACTTTTTTTCTACAAATTGTAAAAAAAAAAAATAAAAACATAAAACAAAAAGTGATGAGTATCAAATTGACGCACTGTCAAGCAGCTATTGATGCGACACTCAAATCGGGTAGTGCCGCTAACCACTTACAAAGGTCGATTGCTTTCGGCTCAATCGAAATAAACAACACGCCACGGCTCACCACAATGAACAATACAAAATTTAAGGCTATAAAGGAAAGTATTTATCGTAGGCGGCGCTATATACTGTCTAGTCTACACGTACCAGGCGGTTTCATCATCATCATTGCATTATTAGAGAGTTGCGACATGAGCGGTTGAGGTCACGTGACTACTGGCCGCCCTCTATCTGCCATCTCGGTGCCCCATTGATCAAGTCAATGGTGCGTAGCCAACAGAAATAAGATAAGCTTCGGGGAAAAATTATTGAACTCATGTTACTTAAAAATCCATAACTCCGTAACGAAGAATCGTATCACATTATTTTTTCTGAAAATGTTCCTAAAAGACTATTCTACACCACTATATAAGTTTTAAGAAATGAAAAAAATGTTTCGACCTCTGCCACAAGATGGGTATACACTAGGCCTAGCTAGCTATAAAAGTAGCGTAGTACTTTTTCAGTTAGCGTATGATTTACGGATTTCTCTTATTATATACTACTAGTTATTTTGGAGATACCATCGGACTGGGACCCTAGCTCAGGCGTGCCACAAACACCCATTTACTATACGAATTTGTAAGTTGTCCAGTGAAAGGCCTGCCGTGTCGCCTACTATTTAATGAGCCGAGCAAACGCAAAGTTTTCAAACACATGTTGATTAACAGATATATACTATCAAATGACATAAAATGTTCTTATTAACAATTTTATTTATTTTTTTCAATGTCTATTATTTTTGCAATCGCCACACTGTAACATAGGCATTGTGGTCACTCATGCATGCAAGGCACCAAGATGGATACCCAGCAGCGTCTCATGTCGCAACTCTCTATATAGGAACTCTACTGTCTACTGGAGTTCTATAGCTGTCTACATAACATACGACGGTGCTGTACAGTATTTAATAGAAAATACGAATTACTCAAATAAACATAAAGTACTATATTAAGTTATTAATATAGTGATAATAGTACAGGTATTGGTATTAAACAATAAAATGCAAATATTACATTAAAAAGAAATTCTTGAATATAAAATAAGACCGATGCAGTCTTGGCGTTGGAACCTACACCATATTAATAGTATACCGTTACTTGCAGCGTTGAAGGTTAATGTACTGTACTACAAAATTGCAACAGAATGATCAATACTTTTTTTCTACAAACTGTAAAAAAAAAAAAAGTGATGAGTATCAAATTGACGCACTGTCAAGCAGCTATTGATGTGACACACAAGACGGGTAGTGCCGCTAACCTACGATGGCCCACAAGGGACACACTGCAAAGAAAAAGAAATGCTGCAAACAAAAAAGAAATGCTGCAAACAAAAAAGAAATCATGGAAACAGAAAAGAAACGCTGCAAACAAAAAAAGAAATGATGCA